TACTCTTCTTTAAACATGCTGCATCCTTCTTGAATTTTTTAGATATACATTAGCTAATAGTCTGTTTCACTTCTTCATTTAACCCAGAGAATATAAAAACAATAAAATTCTCCACTTCCATACCGAATCAACACTTCGTCTGCTGATTCTGTTTGCCCGTTCAGCCTCTCTGCGTTTTTTCTCATTCTGTTCACGAATCTTTTCGCGAGTTGTACGATACTCAAGTGCGAATTCTGAGACGATCTTGCAGATGGCGTGCGGTTTAGCATCCTTAATCGTATAGAGCGGATGACCAAAAAATACCATCAGTTTGTGAAACCTGGAAAGCAACAAAAAATATAATGACATTAAAGTAAAAAGTGACTGAAGCCACTTGTCAATCAACCATAGATGGCGTACTATGCTAATTATTGCTATATGTGCTGCTTCCATATTGTAAAATTAGATTCTGCGATGCCAAGGATTTTTAAGAGGCCGCAAATTATACAACTTCTACGAACAATTTCAAGACAAGATCATTAATGAAACAAATGTGCACCGTATAGAGAATTGATGATGGGAGCCTTTTGCTTGGTTAATTTTTGAAAGAAGTACTGCTTGCCTAAAGTAAATTACATACTGTGTTTAAGTAAGCCAGTACTCAAAGTTAAAACTATGAAAAATATTCGCTGGTGATAGGCGTATTAAATAGTTTGGACCAATGTCGTTTCTTACTCGGCTCATCTAATTATGTGTATTTTAAAAGTATCCATCTTATTTAATACCTGTTAATAACCCTTTTATAGATGACGCCAAGGACTGTGATACGCTCAGCGCTGTCGGAGAGAAACGAGGCAATCATATCAAGACTCTGTTGACCATCATGCTTCGCTACAGCTTTCAAATGTTCCCACGAGGCCTTGCAATCTGTTTCTAACTTATTCAGCGTTTTCGCCGTTTCCTCGAAGTCCACCTGTAGAAAATTGCAAGCAATAGAAGCTACAAAACACTATTTGACCATTTTACTTCGTCGAGTAATTAACAACTTAAAAATTACTTAGTATATATATATAATATATCTCAACCAGCCTTTTTTATGTGGATTGCCCTTAGGATTGCGTGAGCGTAGACTTTTCCTTGAGAAAAATGTGCACTTAGAATATGCGGTTAGCCATATCGATTCCTTAAGGAATATACTTTTTTTAACAGGTATCCCGACGATGTAATATCTAATGGGTTTATATTGAACTCGAATTAAGACCAAGACAAGTGAAATGGATTTCCAAATGACCGGGATTTTAAAAAATTGTTATTATTATCCTAACTTGAAAAATAATTAATGTAGTTTAATGTGACAATCTCTAAACATTCTAAGGATAAACCGGATAACATTTTAATTTATTGGAAAGAAAATAAGGCAGTTTCGGCCATGATAAAATCTTCAATTATGTATACTTTGTAGCCCAACTCGTGGCACACGCACTACTCTACTTACTCTGAGTAATTAGGTAGAAATAAATAAATCTTTGAATTGTCAAATGTATGCTACAATGCTTGTGCAATTGCTGAATGGCCGAAATATTCCTTTCATAATACAAAAATCTTGTATGAAGAAAAACTTACACAGATGTATTAGCTTCACTTTCAATTTTGTACATATCTGTTTGTGTATTGCTTTGTACAATATCTCCATAAAAAAATCATATTAAAATTTAGACACAGTTGAAAAACAGGTGGAATCATGCATGACAATATTTTGATTAATTTGTTTGTAAGTTTGACTTACTTTTGAGGTGCGCGTTACTGCTGCCATCTCGGAGTAGAGATCACTTGAGTTAGGATGTCGTGCTGACACGAATTCCACTACGTGAAATAGAAGACTATGCTTGTATATCGTGTCCTTAACTTCTGGAATCTATAAAAACCCATATTTAAGGCGACTTATATATATATATATATATATATATTTTTTTTTTTTATAGTTCCTTGCCATATTTATTCCTGCAACGATCAGTGTAATCATAATAACTGATTGCGGTGGGTACACAAACCTTGGCAAGGTAGTCAAACTGAAAGCCTTTCACTGGCGACCCATTGAGGAAGTTTCCAATTGCAAGAACCGTCGAGAGGATAATTCTAAATGTTTTGTTACTCTCGATTTCGGCTATCGTTTGTTTTAAATCCGTAAGCGGTTCCGCTACCTCTTTTTCTAGTATGTTATAGTCCAGCACGAAAGCCCATAATCTGAAAAACACACAATGTAATATGCTGAATATTTGTTTATTACTCTATCTGCAAGTTAACATCAATTTACATTAAGTGATTACCGCTTCGCGGTTACGTCAGCTGAATGCAGACAACTACGACTAGACTCACAGATTACAATTAGGTTATGCTATTTATACAGAAGAGCGTGTGATTCCCTGCTCGTATCTTCACGAAATCATTCTAACTGCTTTACGTGAACTATTGCCAGGTATCACGTAGACGCTGGTTTAATATACCTCAGAAATAGCTGGCTTGACAAAACAGATCTAACCTAAACTCTGCTCAGAGAACCGATTCATTTTGTTGTCTATATATAGAAGGGTTGAGTTTCAGCGAAATGTGCCCACGTTTAGCTAGTTGTTAAACGGTGTTCACTGAGAGCCTCGGCTGTGTAATAGTATATAACAAGAATACTACAGATGTATTTGAGCCGTGGCTCGAGCTCGGTAATGGACGACAGCGTCAGTAGCAAGTTTTCGGCATTGCCAAGCGGCACCTCTGGGTTGGCCATTTGAGCCTCGACCATTTTGTTCATCTCCTCAGCCGACGGTATCGTCGCCGTAAGGATTCTCTCGATGCCTTCCCGGTTCATGACTGTGGAGTCCATCTTTAGGATCGCCGCCCGAATCGTCCGAGGATTCGGTAACTTTGTCATGCCGATGTTGATTGCATTCGATCGTTTCGCATCTAATACTGTAATCTCATTCCTTTTACCTTCTTGTTTCCACAAAATATCGTAGCAGTAGTAGTAGGAACAGATACAAAGCAGTTCACAGTGAGATGCGCTTAACACCCGTTATTTACTCTGACGCGTCTCAAATATACGTATTAGCTGTATTTGAAACAGGAGTGTAGTAAGCTGATGTGCTACAATAAAAACGATGTGTTTTTCCTAGCAAAGCGAGGGTTCAGACGCGTCAATTGTTTTACGCAAGTGAAGTAACGCCATCATAGAAATCTCTAAGAAAATGGCCCCAAAACAATAGGAAATACCTCCAACTCCGCTTGCAAATCTATATATTTTGAAATGGGAAAGTTTGCAAATAGACATTCGACCCTGCTAAACCTGTGGCTTGAAAACGCAACTCATCGACAGGTTAACAAACTAAATGGAAGCGCATTTTCTCAAGGATTATCTGTCAAATCCGTCATGGTTGTGGAGCAAGTGAGTCATATTATATGAGTCAAGTCTTCATGCTACAGTAGACACCGGCATTTGACGCTACTCCAGATATAACGGCACCATAATTTAGAGAAGAAATTCAGGTGCCTGTTGTAGAGTAGACGCTAACTAGATTATGTAACTAGACGTTATGAAGGGCCTACTTTTTTGACCAAGTGGATTGTGTCGGCAAAGAGGCACGTAACGTTTTATTTCCCACTTATGACTGTTGTGTGGCTCATTCCTGCAAATAACTCGCTCGATCAATTTAAAAACTAAGTTACTCCCCATATCGAATCTTGTAATCTTTTCCTCTTCGTAGCACAAGTTTAAAAAAATTGAGTCAATATATCGGTGAGGCGCTCCGAACTCCGGTGGTAATCCATCAGGTAGATCAATGGTTCACACTCTGCGGCTTTGATTACAATATTTAATTTTAAGCTTATGCCTTACCTGTTTCATAAGGTCTTTGGCTTTGTTTTCGAATAGCTCCTCTAGCTTGGCCGTGTCGATCTCTTCCGAACAGAGTTCATCCCATATCGTATGTTGCTTCTTAATACGAGCTAGAAGCATTCGATCTTCTTTAATTTCCTTCCAGATGAGCTTAACTGTTTTTTTACTCTTCTGGATTGTTGGCTGTGCGCCGGGTTCATTCCTGCAGGACAGCCAAGGACTACTTTATTACGGCTTTATAATATCACTAAAATATAACCACTTAGGAGAATGGTAAATTCAGCCGCCCATTTTAACTAAAATAAAAAGTCGAACGTTGACAATCTTGCGGTGGTGAAACAATTTCGTGTAGTCAAAATTCAACTAAGCACTCAAACGCCATGTTTTCAAAGAACAATTGCCCTTTCTTACTAAATGGACTCATGAACGAAACCCTTATTAGAATTAGAATGATAACGAAAAATAGAACGAAAGGTAAAAATACATCGCATAAATAAGAGTCACGAGGTATTCGTTACCGTAGTTATATAGAAAATTAGCCTAAGTGTGCTACATTTGCCTATAATACGTACTATACGTTGCTGTAATGAACTCCTGATTTTATTAAGCCACTTTCTATGACCATTTTATCATTCTGTCACTGAATCTCTGTATGACCTTTTTCTTGCTGTATCGTAGTCGCTAACAGCCTTAGCCCAATAATGTACATCAACAGTTTCCATAACTTGGTCTAGCTCTTTAGTTCTTGATAAAATCTTTGACATCGTGTTTTTTGCACATTGGCGGTACACTTATGGCATACCCTAAACTTTTCCTTTTTTTACATAATACTTTCATAAGAAGTACCCTACAACTAAGATTTACTTGTTAGCAGCCCATGGAAGTTGGCTTGAGGAGTGTTGCTTTTGTTGAACGAAAGATGGGGTAGTTTTACGGGGCCCCGTGGCTCCGAATGGAGGTACTTCGAATAGAGCTTGTGAAGGTGCCCGTGCACCAGACGGTGGAGAAGAAGGCGGAGGAGCTCCGGGTGGTCGTGGCGGGCGAGGAGGTCCGCCAAAACCAACGCCAAACGGTGGTGGCGGTGGCCCGTCCAAACCTTCCATCGGCGGTGGAGGAGGTGGAATAGGTCCACTTACTGCGAAAGGAACCCCGTCCTCGTTAAGTACTGTCACGTCATCGCCTTCGCTGAGGTCTGTGAAGTCGAAGTCATTGATAAATAGAGGCCTCCTAACAGACTTGATGAAGTTTTGCCATTGCACCGGGCTTCCAGACTTCCAGATCATATCCTGCCTTTGTCTTTTTCAAAGCAGTTAAACTTCTGTAGGTTATTAGAGAACTGGTTACTAGTGTACGGTGGAGTTTTTCCTAGCTTAATGATAGGAGGCCGTTGTCCGAAGCTTAACTGAAAAGCTGCGTATGGAGGGAATAATGGTCGCATCAAGCGACGTTGGCGGTCGCATCGGCAGGTAGCTGGATGGTTTCTCTGCAAGCGCTTGCTAAACTCCGATACACGGATACATCTAGTAATTAAATATTCGTAATTTTTTTTTTCGAAATATCTTTTAGGAAATTGTCTTTTCTGACGACTTTTATTTCACTTAGTCTATTGCCTTTTTTCCTAAAATATATATATATATAAAACCTGCAAATGACAAAGAAGTTATACTACTGTGCACTAAAGGTAAACGTCGAATCTCCGCTACCTGTTTCTGTTGGTATATAGCTGAACCAAGATTTCTGGCTTGATGTTCGGGTACTTTGGGGATATAGTCTGAAAGATCGATTAATTGTCTCCTTTTGTCTACGCGGCGCATCACCGGCTTTGCTCCTGAATCGTTTGTGCTAAAATTTCTTAAATTGGCGACCGTTCGCTGAGGGTTGCGTTTCCTCTCCGAAAATGTCCATTGGTCCATCGTTCTCATTTCGGAGATAGTCTCATATCTTATGACCGTTTTTCCAAAGTCTCATTGCCGGTGTCAGATCATTATCAGCGAATGCCGTATCCTCTACAGACCGTATGAGATTTTGAAAGAGGGGGAAGACTTAACTTTTGTAGGAGGGCCATCAGTCAGGTTGTGTGGGCTGCTCTTTCAAGAAGGGTTATGCTTACGGTTTGTGCAAAGCGCGTGTGAATTAATTCTATTATCAGTAAAAAGTGGTATAATAATTCAGTATATTAAGAACCTCGACCTTTAAATACATTAATTCCATGGTTCTCCATTTTGCTGATAGTTTGATCCTAATTGATAAGTGCAATCGATTTTGAGTTTCGTATGAAACAAAGATAAAAAAAATAGTTTTACGCTTTTTGTGTAAATGTGTTTATTTGTTATATTGGAACTGTGTATTTAGAATTTAGTTGATCAACTATAACATATGTGTATAGTATAAAAGATGTTAATCTTTAGACTAAATACTTCAAAATTTGTTGAAGTGTGGCACAAAGCATATCACGGGGTTCGTTCTAGAGAGGCCAATGGTGCATGGCGAGAGCTCCAAAATAATCATACTCAAATGCATTTTATTACCAGGAACTGCTATACAATTTTTCTCACTTTAAACAATTTGTTACTTCTTTTTAGGTCGAGTCTGGTAGCCGCAACGTTTGGGCTATTTATAGAATTTTTACGTCACGCAGCTACTGCCACCCGTAGGGCAGTAAGAAACAAAGACATCACCTGCGCATAACACACAATGTATCGAATAACTATTTGTTTTTCCTCTATAAATACATATTTGTTATTCTATTTTATATATAAAACGTGGACCTCAGATTCCGGTAGGTGACACTTCGTAGGCACTGACCTGGCGCATACCGATCTTCTTGTCTACTTGTCTTCTACTCTCAGGGAGTTCTCGTAGAGCTGCATCTGCTATAAGAGCTAGTCATCGGTCTCTGCACAAGTACAATTGTACAATGCGCGCCATTTCTATCGCGTCAATTGAACCCACTATATCCCGGTAGGTTTCTTGGTCAGGAACACCATCTAAGGCTTAGAGTAGCACGCAGGAAAAAGTGTTTGCGTCGGCCGGGAATCGAACCCGGGCCACCCGCGTGGCAGGCGAGTATTCTACCACTGAACCACCGACGCCTCGATGAAGTACATGTGGAAATATGCTCTTAAATAATCTTTTATATGTACCTGATGTGTGAGCTCAGTGGAAGAAGTAGCATATTTTAAATTAGGCTTTATTTGTAACACCTGCTCGCCTGTTAAATTGCTTAAAGAATTCTACATGAAACTGCATCTAAAATTTGAGCCTATGGTAGTATTGGTATTTGGTGCTACTAAACAGTCGTAATATGAAATCATTTCGTACGAGGTCCTCATCAAAACGACGCTATTAGAATGAAGGCGCCGTGGCTTAGTTGGTTAAAGCGCCTGTCTAGTAAACAGGAGATCGTGAGTTCGAATCTCGCCGGAGCCTTAAACTTTTTAGTCTATGTTTTTACTTTTAAACCATCAGGCACTAAGCGTAATGGTAAGTGCATGTCACTTTCAGCGGATGTGAGGAGTGTTGCAAGATAAGCCTACAATACCACATATATTTTCCAGCGAAAGATGGATTCATTTCTACCAAAGTACTTATTATAAATTTATTACAATGCGTCCTTGCTTACAATAGAGCTCAGGCAATGATGCACGTGGCTCTAACCTTCTTGAACTAGAACTTTTAATTCATGTAGCGTCTACCTCTAAGCTCATAATGGACATTTTTTCAAACAGCGTTTTCGGATGGACCCGCAGTATGGAACTCAAAACTGCCTGTACCTATTTAAATTTTATGCGACATCTTGAATGGCAACAATTAGTCTACGTATTTAGCTGCACCATTTTCATTTCACCATGCTAGCTTAGGCTTCTTTGACCTAACTTCCTGTTTGCTTTGTCCTTTGCTCGAGCCAGCGACAATTCTCGGAAAAATATCTAGTCGATTTTGAAATAATGACCACGACGTTTAGTTAACCCATTTTTGAATTACTTCTTTCTTTTATTATAACCCATTAATTTATAAATTCTGCATGTGTAGTTGGCTTATTGTCGCAAGTGAAAACGATAATATTAATAAAAATCTATGACAGTAATAGCCATACGCAACAGTTCGTACGCAATTCCAATTTGTTGTCAGACACCAGTTGGATCTAGACAATGTACAAAGAGTAAGATTAATTAAACAACCACAACCACCTCATCGAAACGAAAGGTCCGAGATTTCGAATCATCGGACACCAGATCTCTTGAGTCAACAGAATCGGATTCTACTGAATCTGGCATAGAAAGTCGGCATATATAACATTAAACGTCGTCTTCATATATGTTGCAACTATAAGGATTCATTGTACACTATCAACGACACTATCTTGACAACAAATCTACATATTTATTAAATTAGTTAGTTGGCATGGCTAAAAATTACTGGATGCGTCCAAAAGGACGAAGAAACAACTTGATTTTGTCATTATTTATTATTATAATCTAATATAGTTATTTATGATCGTATGAATTAGAAGCGGTACTAACATCAGTTGCCCGTAACCAGGCGCATTTTGCTATCAGGCGTGCGTAATACACAAATAAGTGAAGATATTAAACCTTTTTGTTAACAACTCATGTTATAGTTATGCATACAGTTTTGTCGATAGACGTGACGTTTCTGTTTTTCCCAGTTCGCTATGCACTCCCACTGTTACCAGCTTGAATCCCTCGCCAGTAGTATTTTCGTCCTGCTTTGCTTTTGAATGGCCTAAATATATCTAGTGCGGCGTGTTGTGCGCTCAGCATGGATGAGGACAAGTTTGAACTTTGTGTAGGGCACAGGCCCGCCGCGTATGCTCGATCACCAAACATGATTAGGTCTTAGACGCAACTTTTTCGCATGTAATGTTTAGTTTTTTCCGGCAAACCTTGATTGCAATACGTAAAGTAATGTCGTCGTACGCGACCCGTAGAGCACGAAAAAGAACTGCGACAAACGGTCGGTGCTAGCACGTCTTTCAAGGGCAGAATCCGAAAACTCGGAGTGCGATGTCTATCATCCTGCAGCACCCGTTGGCGGCGTAGGAGAAAATGAATAATCACCGGCGTTTTTTTTTCTAGTTTGAGTTAGGCACATTGTCCCGAATCCCGGACCATGCTTCGTGTCATATTTATTCCCGTAGCTCT